GGGCGGAGACGGATAAACGATTTAAATCAAATAGAATTGAATTTTTTTTTCCTTCTTATTCTTAAGTGTTTGACGAAAAAAACGTTAAATAAATCAATAAATAAATATATAAATAGATAAATAATAATCGTTTGCATCAAACGACGGAAAAGCTTTAGACGGTTCATCTATTACACTACTGTATTTAAAAAAATTGTTACGATTCAAACGATACATTTTTTTTCTTTTTTTCTTCCCTTTTTTTTTTTTGAAATATACAACATCTTCATGGGAATAAGAGAATAAAAGCTTAAGACGATAAAATCATCGAAAGCGAGGTAACCATGAACGGCAAAGTAAATTCTCTCGGTACTGAGCATCCGTGAATCAACCTTTAAAGAGCATCCCGCGGTTTCGTAAAATGTGAAAACGTTAAGAAGGTGCAGAAGAAGAAGCAGAAGAGGAAAAAGAAGAAGAAATAGAAGAAATGGAAGAAATAGAAGAAAAAGAAGCTACCACATGGCTCTTTCCCCAACCTTTCTCTCGTGCTGCTCTTTCATTTCTATCTCCTCCTCCTCCTCCTCCTACTCCTACTCTTCCTACTCTTACTCCCCCTTCTTAACCTCACGCAAAACGCGCAATCGGTCTGGTGAAACGTCCTATTCTCTTCTTTTTTTCTCTCTCTTTCTCTCTTTTTCTTCCTCTTTCTCTCTCTTTCTCTTTCTCTTTCTTCCCGTTCCCTTCTTTTCTTCAAACATTTTTGTGAAATAGGATTTTGCGGCTAGTAGCCTTGCGAAAGAAATAGAATCGTCGGATTTTCGGCGTTCCCGCGAACTCAATCGTTTTACATCTAATTTACATAGTTTCATCGAAAAACGGGACTAGTCTTAGATGTTCTACTACGAGGGAATTATTTGAAAAAAAAAAGAAAAGAAAAGGAAAACCAGAGAAAAGAAGAAAAAAAACACAACGCGAAATGGACTGGGCTATCGAGATAAGGTAACCGGTTTTATAATTCTAGGGAGACTCGACGATGTTGAGCAATGTTGAGAAGGGAAAGAAGAAAAAAATACAAAAAGAAAGAGAAAAAAGGAAAGAGAGAGAGAGAGAGAGAGAGAGAGAGACGAGGAAAGAAGATAAGAAGATAAAAGAAATTATACTGTATGAAGAAAAAGAAAAAGAGAGAGAGAGAGAGGGAAAGAGAGAGAGAAACAATTTTCATATGTATATATGTATTTACCATTTACGATTCTAGAACAGAATAATTTTCCATTGAATTTATTGCCTAATAATTGATATAAACAAAGGCGAAGTGTATCTTGTCTATACAAGATTGTTATTATAAAAAAATATAATAAAAAGAAATATAAAAGAAGAGATCCGAGAAAGGTTAAGAAAGATAGGAGATAAAAAGGAAAAGGAAAATAGAGTAGAACGAATTCGTAGAAAGTCCATTACTACGAGTTGTTGTCGTCATCATCGTCCTCGTCGCCGTAGTTGTAGTCGTAGTCGTAGTCGTCCTCGTCGTCGTTCACTCTCTCATCACAAACGGAGCGTTAAATAATTGTTGAAACGTTTCTACGAGTCCGTTCCTCTTAGATTGCCCGTTACGTTCACTTCTTTCGCATGCTCCATTGATATTAGTAATTATGCGTTACGCTAATTAATCTCTCTCTCTCTCTTTCTCTCTTTCTCTCTCTCTCTCTCTCTCTCTCTCTCTCTCTCTCTTTCAATCTTCCTATCTATCTATCTATTTATCTATCTAGTTGTCTCTGTCTTCAATATGGATAACAAACGGTACATTTAGCGAACGTTTATCTTATCGTAGTCAACGTAAACAGGAACAGATGCTTCAAGAGAAGAAAAAGAGAGAGAGAGAGAGAGAGAGAGAGAGGAAGAAAAAAAGAAAGAAAGAGAGAGAGGGAGAGAGAGAAAGACTATACGATGTCTTTAGACAGGACGTCAAACGCAGCTCTTACTAATTAGACATACGTTTAATGAAAGTCTTCGCCCTCGTCATTAGTACATGCATATATATAAATATATATATATATATATATATATATATATATATATATGTTTATATTATCAACGCATCTATATGCGTATATATATACATCGATCAGGGACTCTCGCTTTGCTTTTAGAGCGAAGAAGAAAGAGGATACTAAAAATGAAAAAAGAGGGAAAAAGAAACTGAAGGAAAGCGTCCCCGATCGTGACGTTGATGTTGATGACGATGACGACGATGATGAATAAGTGAGAGAGAAAGAGGAAGAGAAAGAAAAAAAGGAAAGAGAAGTTTAGTAGTGGGAGAAAGCGGAAGGGCGGTGACTGACAGACCAGTAGATACGTGGACTTTAAAACTTGCCTCTTAATGTTAATGTTTACATGTGCATAGTCATCGGGACTAGTAAGCGTGCATGAGCGCACGAACGAACGTAGAACGCAAAGAGGCCTTCTAAGTTCAGAGGTTATCCCCCGTCATGAGAATAGTGCTCGATTCGTGACGTGTTCTCTAACTTGCAACTTCAATTCAACTTGGACAGACATAAAAGTCATCGATAAAGGAACATTCAAATCTTCTTTTAGCCAGATTTGTGAATCCTTTTTTTTAACGTTTTTCTTTCTTTCTTTCTTTCTTTCTTTCTTTCTTTCTTTCTCTTTTTTCTCTTTGTTTTTTTTCTTTTTTACATCGTATAAAGAAGAAATAAAGAAAATCACCCACAGTTTTGTTGATTTTCCTTATGATTTTATTTGTAAATTATTTAATATAGGAATCGATTCGTCATGGAAAAATCTACAAGGAAAATATTCGAATCCTTGATGACTTTTCCAAGTAAATGTCAACGACTTTTAAAACGTTACTTTTTTTCTTTTATTTCTCATTACTGCGAATCTTTATTTTCTATCTTCGTTAAAAACAAAGTCGACAGTATTAGATAATAGTCGTTGGATTTAGTTAAAAAAAAAGTACAACTGTGAAAGAATAAAATCTAATGAGAGAAACTATTATCCTTTAGAAAAAAAACCTATTATATCGCTATTATTATATCGCACGAGAATAAACTTATCTTTTTCTAAAATGTTTTCCTTTTTTATTATCAATACATACATAAACACATGCATACGCATGTACGTACACGCTTATAAAAATAGAGACCGCGTGTATTAAAAAGATTTATAAGACGAGTATCTACAAACCGGAGTGAAATTAATTAATAAAAAAACGTTGAGTATTCATTCGTTATCATTGTTATTGTCGTACCTGTCGTTTTTTGCACATATATACACATTCAAATACACACGCAGACATATTATACAGTCTAATGATTTCACAAGAGAAAATAGATGCAGCATCGACGAAATGGCTGTTACACTATGTAATTCCTGGTGTAAACTACCATGCGACTCTGTCGTTTTTCTTTCTTTCTCTCTCTCCTTCTCTTTCTTTTTCTCTTTCTCTCTTTCACTCTTTCTCTTTCACTCCAGGATTTATACTTGAAGTCATTGCGAGCTCCTGAAAGTACGCTCTGCATATACGAATTATAATTAACAAATTAATTTAACATAATTTCGCGCGGCTCGTTTCGAGCTTGCGACGACGCCATTACGCGATAATTAGCAACACTAAGATTCCCACAATGCTTATATGATTATTCGTATGCGTCTGTGTGTGTATGTTTGTGCGTGCGTATGCGTGTGCATGTGTCTATGCTTGTGTGTATAGACGTATTCGTGCACGTCTTAACGAAACCATTTTTTTTTTATATCTTTATTTACGTTGCTACTTATTAGGTCAGTATTTTTAAACATTTGATCAGTATTTTAAATAAATACATAGTATTTATAACCAAAAAGAAAAATAATACATAATACAAGCGACGCTAATTAATTTATTTGTACTGATCAAAATGTCCCATTTATATTAAGCATTTATTTTATGAAATACTTTTATTGTTAATTAATGAAAATATTGATCGAAGAAAGTGTTTTTTCTTTTTTTAATCGCATTTACCCACTTCATCGATCATTCGTACAGACATGTAAAAAACGTCCGAAGGAGAGTATCTTTATCTCTTTTCTCTTTCTCTCTTTACAAAACGTTGACTGCTCCCCGTAAGTGATCACGCTATTTTAGCTCTCCAGTTTCTTCGCTCTGTTTTTTTTTCTTTTTTTTTTTTCCCGTTAAACACACCGATTATTATTAATTCGATATTCAACGCTTGTCAGCACTTTGCGAACCACTTTAAATGCAATCTAATAAACGACATAAATTACGATCGAACAAATCGAACTCGTGTGATCACTTCTTTTTTCTTTTTTTGTTTTTTACAAAGTTCAACTGAAACTTCACATTTATTTATATTCAAAAATGTATTAGGAATCATTGTAAATAAATTGAAAGTCTCATCTATTCGATATAAAAATTAAAACGATGTTCTTTCGATTCGTCAAGTTTCTTTTCTATTTTATGTAAAATGATGATTATAATAATAATAATAATAATAATAATAATAATAATAATAATAATAATAATAATAATAATAATAATAATAATAATAATAATAATAATAATAATAATAATAATAATAATAATAATAATAATAATAATAATAATAATAATAATAATAATAATAATAATAATAATAATAATAATAATAATAATAATAATAATAATAATAATAATAATAATAATAATAATAATAATAATAATAATAATAATAATAATAATAATAATAATAATAATAATAATAATAATAATAATAATAATAATAATAATAATAATAATAATAATAATAATAATGATAATAATAATAATGATAATAATAATAATAGTAATAATATATTAATATGATTATAACAAATAATATATTATTATTATTATTATTATTATTATTACAATATATATAATATAGCACATGAAAATTTATAATGTGATTATATAGCATAGAAAAATTATAACTCACGAAGATATTTTTTTACTAATCTCATTATTTATTTTTTTTTTTCTGTTACAGGATTCATAAACTGCAATGCCAACACGCTACAGTCGCTCGCGCAGTTACACGGTGAGTGAAAACCGCTTGTTACTCGATTTCCTCCTTCCCTTCCGTTTTCCACCATCCATTTTCACTCTGACACAAGCGTGGTTATGACAGTGGCGTGTGGGACACCGGGCACGAACATTGAACGTCTTAAGGGCCACGCCACAAGGAAGAACCACTACCCGTAGTTAATTAATATTTATAGTTACGTAATAACTTCTACGTAAGAAAGATATCTCGCGCGTGACAATCCAAGAAACTCGATCCTCCTTATTCCCTGTACCGTTCACTTCCTTCTTGAGTAGATTAATAGGCGGAAAATACGAATCAGTGTCGAATTATAAATTTCATACGATACGGAAAATCGTTTGGCAAAGAAAAAAAGAGTTTCTTTCATTCTTTCTTCGATCTGTAATTCGTTTCTTTTTTCCTTTTTTTTTTGTTGTTATTTTTTTTTTCTCTAGTTTCGAATAATTAAAATGAGTTTTAATATGGTAACATTATAAAAAAAAAAAAAAGAGAAAAAAAATCATCATCACTAAAGAAGACAAATAACGCCGTTGATATTTACTGAAGGAGCTGATCTTTTAATAAAAAAAAAAAAAAAAACAATATCCTACTTTCGATCAAAGATTGATTAAACCTCACGTAACTATTAATTTTTAAGTCAATCCAGTATAAAATTCGTTTTAGATATGAATGAGTATAGTTGAAAAAACAAAGAAAAGCGTCATTTCCATTAAAATAGTTTGAATTTAAACATAATGATTTAGTGGGGATTATCTATATAATACTACATAATATATATTTGTTATATAATATATACATATATTAGGTGGATCGGAAAGTAATATCGTTTCTGCGCATGTTGATATTTGATTGTGATTAAAAATAAAAACTTGTTAAAAATTTATTCGTTTGAAATTACTTAATATTACTTTCCGGTTCACTTAATATATATATATATATATGAAATATAATATATACATATATTTTTTGTATGAAAATGCTGTAAATCAAAAAAAAACGTAGTTTCGTATCATCTTATGAAAAAAAAAAAAAAGAAAAGAAGAAAGATAGCAACGATTCTGTCCCTACAATAATATCATTTTATTCGAATCGTCTCCACTTTCACGAATCGCTACAAATTCGTGGAGACGGCCCTATTGTCGATGGAATTTCACTGGTACGAACGAAAAAAAGAATCCCTGCGAATTCTTTCGTGGACCCGCTGCCAGAAAGAAGGTACGCACGGAGAATTTTCAATTTCTTTCTTTGTCTCCTCTGTCTTTCTTCTTTCCTTTCTGTAGTAACCGAAAGGAAAAGACAGAGAGAGAGAGAGAGAGACAGAGAGAGAGACAGAGATAGAGAGAGAGAGAGAGAGAGAGAGAGAAAGAGAGAGAGAAGGTGGAACCGTACGCGTTACCTGAAATTACGTGAGCATGCATGGAATCGGTACGTGTGACAGACATGCACGAGGCACTACGCTGATGGGAGGACACGATCGTGTGCAGGAATCAAGGCAGCGTGAAATGCACGCGCATGTACCGGAGGCCTCTTTCGTAATGCTGGTTCCTCTATAGAATTAAAATCGAGGGGATAGCTCTCGTGAACGCAAAAAGAGAAATAGGAAATTTCGTGACGTCGACGTCTAACAACAAAATTGTCCATTCAAATTTTTATATACTTTATTTTTATTATTATTATTATTCTTTTTATTTTCCTCTCTCTCTCTCTCTTTCTCTCTCTCTCTCTCTCTCTCTCTCTAAAAGAAATAAAATTTCAATTTTCTTTAAAAAATATTTACCATTCAAAATACCGCTTATATTTATGGATATTATCTCGAATATGTGTGTATGTATGTATGTGTGTATAAGTTTGTGCGTATTTGTACACACATTGTTAAACTTCAAGGCCCCTGTCGAGATGCGGGTGAAATGTTACGTTCGCTCGTCCAATAATCGCTTTGGTAACTAGCGCGAATTAGCAAACATATACCCGCTAACGATCATTCGAGGCCTTTGACCTTTGCCCGTTGCGTTAAGCTCGCAAATTATATTACAATGTTGTTAAAATCGTATATACCGGTACGGGCGTATGATCACGAAATTCTGGCTACACATCACGTTATCGCATCTACAGATCGTACAACATTATTGATTAGGATGAAACATCGATCTAACGTTCAGTAACGTGTGACAATAAACCCTCCAATTATCGTATTAATTATATGCGCGATGTTGCAAATGATCGACACGGAAAAATATTTCTTTTTTTCTTTTTGTTTTTTCTGCTTTGTTTTGTTTCCGGTTTTTCAAGTCTCGCTTAAACAACAAATTTCCATATTTACATATCGGGTTAATGCAAAAGTTTTTAAACGTAAAATTGAAGAAAAATTTTATTATAAAATTTTAAATAAAAATAGTGAATCAAATTTTTCTTCAATTTGATTTTCGTATAAAAAGTAGAACGATCTCCCACCAACATTTATATACAATTGTTTCACAGTTAACCTTTGTGCGTTGTCGAAAAATAAAAATAATATATATATTTAAAAAAGAACCAAATAGAAACGGCGGAAAAGGGAATATAACAAAAATAAATAGAACGATTTTCCAAGAATTTTTTTCCTTATTTTTTTTCTATATATATATATATAAAATATATATATATATATTTCTTTTTTCTGACAGATTCATGAATCCAACACGAACGATAGGCCGCATTTGCATATATCTATATATTCGAACGTCGAGCCGCTGTCCAGTTCCCTCAACCTCTGCGATCTATAGTTCTCCACTTCCTTTTCTCTCTCTCTCTCTCTCTCTCTCTCTCTCTTTCTCTTTCTCATGTTTTTTTTTATCCCTGGAAAAACGATAGATATGCATAGAGCACAAGGCCACGAGAAACACAAGTTAAGCGTTGCATATTCAATGAATGCAGATTTCGGTGAGAGGCCACACCCGGTGAAACAATACATTAATTAGCCGACCTTTTGCGGTATCGGTAGGGGATGTCTAGGGCTAAAGGGCTCACTCGCACTCTTATTTTCTCTCTCTCTCCCTCTCTCTCTCCCTCTCTCTCTTTCTCTCTCTCTTTCTCTCTTTCTCTTTGAATACGACAAAGAGAGATGGAGAAAGAGATGGATAGACGGTCTTACATCGTTTTACGTAGTAATATAACTTCCTTTTCCTACACTGGAGCCTCAGCATCTGCTCCATAAATCCGGACATCGTTCAATATTTATAGAGGCTCTGGGCTTCCTTGCTTACTTTTAATCTCCACCAGTGCTTTCTCTCTCTCTTTATCTGTTTGTCTGTCTCCTTTTCACTTTCTTTCTCTCTTTCTCTCTCTCTCTCTCTCTTTCTCTCTCTCTCTCTCTCTCTCTTTCTCTCTCTCTCTCTCTCTCTCTCTCTCTTTATCCTTCTCTTTCTCTATTAACCAGGTGTGTTCTTTCTCGAGTCGAATGGATAGGCAAAGATCTATCTCTGACTCTTGAGCTGTGAAAAAGTCGAAGTTCGTCTGATCTTTCCTTAAATTTCAGTTAGGTCAAATAAATCTAAGAATAATTTGAGATTTTCACTTTAGAAAATAACGGGAGGAAAAAAGATTTTCTTTGTACAGATAAAAATCTAATATTCGAATAGTTAGTATTATTTGTTTCTCTCTCTCTCTCTCTCTCTCTCTTCTCTCTCTCTCTCTCCCTCTCTTTTACTCTTTTCCTTTTTTTTCTTTATCTCGTACAACCAAGAACGTAGATTAGCAAGAACAGAATAATCGTAGAGTGCGATTACAAAGGGAAAGAGAGTCAGTCCAGGAGAGTAAAAACTATGTAATCTTCTTCTCCGTTTGTTATTGTAAAATTAACGAAGTAGGTACATAGGTACCTACGTTCTTTACTCGTTGCAAGCGAACTCTCGAGTCGACTCATTGTTTCACGACGAGAAGCTAATTCGCGAAGGAAGATTACGGTACTTTGCCTTCTTGATTAGAATGTCCGTGTCACGATTTGAAAAAAGAGGAACAAATGAAAAAAAAAAAAGGAAAAGAATTAAAAGAAAAAACGAGACAAGACGAGACGAAGAAGAATGAGAGAATGTGAGTGTGTGAGAAGAGAGAGGGAGAGAGAGAGGGGGGAAAGAGAAAGAGAGAGAGAAAGAAAGAGAGAGAGAGATCTAACATATCTCTTGGATCGTTAATTTCATATTTCTTGATTTTTCACGTTCCCTGATCGATTCGAGCAATCAAGCTGGCGTTGAACATCGAAGCCAAGGCGCTAAGATTTCCTTGTCCCACATTTCTTTATTCTTCGATCCTTGACAAAGTTTCTATTCTTCCTCGTAGATTCCTTGACTACGGAATGTTCGTATTTTATCGCGATATTTTTCTTGTTTGTTTCTTCTTTTCCTTTTTTTTTTCGAAAATACGACAAAAACGATAAATGGCACGATGGCAGGAAGATAATTGGTTTTTTTTTATAGAGAGATTTTGAGATTTTCTACTTTATTCTAAAAGTCGCTGTATACACGTTGCTCTTTATTAAAGTAAAGGATAAACGAAAGTTAAAAACAGAAAAAAAAGAAAGAGAGAAAGAAAGAGAAAATACAACTATTCCGCGAAATATAAAATTTCTTAATCCTGTTTCGTTCACCCTGAACGTATTACTTTCTATCTACCTATCTATTTATATATATATATACATATATATATATTTTTTTTATATTATATCTGTTAAAACATTTTTTCATTGGTATGACAGTCACCGGAATGACTGTCACTGAGTTTTCCGTCACACAATTTATCTTTTATTTACGCCACAACGATCACCGGTGAGTGACGGGCAAATAAATATGTTGCACATCATGTTTTTGTGTAATTCAATACTGTGATTCAATAAAATATTCCAGAATTTTATTTTATTTTATTACTTTTTTTTTTTAAATATAATACAAATCTAACTGGCGTGTGCGAAAAATCTGTTAAAATTTAACGATGTAAACGTTTGTGATTGGTTAAAAGATCCA